GAAAACACACGGAAAATGACAAAATGGACCGGATGACACTAAAACGAACCTAAAAATGACTCGATAACACATATAAACACATAAAAATAAGCACAAAAACATAACAAACACACAACCCTAAGATAGACCTGCAAATTTCTCCAACATCGTGACTTTTTCACTTCCAACCGATTTTCACACATGAAAATATCTTCCAAACGAACCAGAAGCATGCATAGAACCCAATTTTCCCTTAAGCATACCACAATAAGCATGTACCCAAAGTACACAATACCGGAGACCAGCTTAGTAATATCCAAGCTTGGTAAAGTAAAATGCCGAGTAAAGGAAAAGGTAACAAACAGATGAGCCAGCGGTGAGATAAGAAAACATTAGTTAAAAATTAATGTCTAATCATCTTCATAACCGAACAATTCAAAAGATACGCTAGAGTGGCGTACCATAGCCACCATAGCCGCCACCATAGCCACCATAGCCACCATAGCCGCCATAGCCGCCACCATAGCCACCATAGCCGCCATAGCCGCCACCATAGCCACCATAGCCACCACCATAGACGCCACCATAGCCGCCACCATAGCCTAGCATTGTCGCACTATAGCCCAGAGGTCCATGTCCATTTGCAATGTCCTGTCCATATCCAAAAGGATCGATTCTATTTTCCTCATGATTGGTTTTATTGTCCTTGGTTCTCCCATTAATCTTCTCATCCTTCTTCTTCTTCAACAAGTCCACCACACCTTCAAGTGCCATGTCAGCATCCTCGTTCCTCATCAAGTGATCCGCCACCTCAGCCGGAGTTATCTCAATCTCTCCAATCAAATCCTTAATCTCACCAAACATCGGGTGATTGACTACTCCCAAGTAGTTCTTGGCCAAGATGTCGAAACCTTGTGCCGTGCAGTAACCCATGCTAATGTGCATGTCCATTCGCCCGGGCCGTAAAAGTGCCGGGTCGATCTTTTCCTTGTGGTTGGTAGTGAAAACAATTATCCTCTCGTCCCCACACGTCGACCAAAGCCCGTCTATGAAGTTCAGTAGTCCCGACAAAGTCAGCTGATCTTGCGATTGGTCCGACATGTTTCTACTCTGCCTGTTTCTACTCTGCATTTGTCGACTGCAGTCAATGTCCTCAATCACCACAATCGATCGATTATTTGTGTTAAGAAGCATCGTCTGCAAACACATGTTCGAGTAGACGCCCGTGAGCTCGAGGTCATACACGTCGAACTTGAGGTAGTTGGCCATGGCTGCCACGAGGCTTGATTTTCCAGTCCCGGGCGGGCCGTATAGGAGATAACCCCTCTTCCAAGCCTTGCCTACCCTCCGATAGTAATCCTTCCTCCTCACGAACCGGTCGAGGTCCTCGATCACGGCCCGTTTCATGTCCAGGTCCATGGCAAGCGTCTCGAAAGTGGCCGGGTGGTCAAGGTTCACGTAACCCCACATTCCGTCCCGGCCCGCGCCGGACTCTTCTTCGCCGCCGCCCCTATACTGGCGAGTCGAGTACAGCCTCACCACGCGATCCTTCTCCTTTATCTCCTTGGCCCTCAGCAGGACTAAAGGGAGGTAGTCGTTGACCACGGTCTCCCTGTTTGACTTGTCGAACGACAGCTCAAAGTAGCGCTTCTCCTGACGGTAGTTCCCGGATGACTTGACCGGCTCCACGTGGACAAACTGCCACGTCAGGTCGAAGCCGGAGAACCGGTCCTCGACCGGATGGTTCCCGACCAGCCCGAGGGTGATGGTCTTCTGTTTGGCGGTCTTGTGGACCCGCAGGCGGTCCGAGTCCGGCCGGAGTTTGGTTTGGAGGTAAATCTGGGCGGATTCGTAAATCTGGTTCGAGAGGAGGCCGGCCTTTTCGTCGACGAGGAGGGTCGTGCGTTCGGGTTTGTCGGAGGAAGAGAAGAACCGGCGGAGGAGGCGTAGGAGGTAAGGGCCGACGGTGGAGAGGAAGAAGGATCGTATTGGCTGCGGGATGGCGTCGTTGGCGATCGACCGGAAGAGCATGACGGTGGCCGCCATGGAAGCGTAGGCGGAGAAATATCTGGTCGCCATTGATTGAACTCCCGCAAATGATTGCATATTGGGATGGTTTGGTTTTTTTTTTTTTTTTTTGGTTCGTTAGTGCTGCTGAGTGTGTCCATTTTATAGGGAAGAGGAAGAGTCCAGCATTTTATGGGGACATGTGATTGGTTAGTGAGACTGAGAGAGAGGCGGTGGTGAGATAGGGTTTGAAGGCCGATTGTGCATAGGCTTGCGGGGCACGCTTCTTATTTACAAGTTTGATACTGGAGTACTACTTTAGGGAAATGCTACATTTTACGAAAACATTCTGTCGACATTTGTAATCGATACATCATCATGTAATCGTCGTGAATAATTAATCTAACAGTTACAAATCTCAAGGGAATAGTTCCGTAACGGAACCATAGAAACCCGCAATACTTTAATAAGTTTTAAAGTGTGTTGAGGCCCGAGTGATGAAAGTTCTGCGTCGAGCAAATTCTTATGTCCAGGCTACTGAGGCCTATACACGGGCAGGTGCTGCCTCCTATTCATTCTGCATGATTCAGTGGAAACCGCCGGATCCGGGGTGGGTCAAAGTGAACTCGGAGGGGACGTTCAATCGTACCAAAGGACTATGCTGTGCGGGTGGGTTGATACGAAATGATCGTGGTGAATGGGTCGAAGGATTTCTCATGAATATTGGAATAGGTACAATCACCGGGGCCGAACTATGGGGTTTATTTCAAGGGCTAATGTTGGGCTGGGATCTAGGGTTCCAGAAAGTGGTCGCTGAAGTCGATAGCCAAAGCGTGTTGAACATGATCTTAGGGTCCCATGAAGAGCTTGGTACCAATGAATCTCTAGTTCGAGCCATTCGGGACCTGATAAGCAGGAATTGAAACCTTGGGATTCTTCATGTGCACCGGGAAGCCAACTTCGCAGCTGACCAAATGGCAAAATTAGCGGCCGACTCCCCGCTAGGAGTGCATAGGATCTCGACACCCCACAAGGGCTGAACCATTGGCTAGACCACGACGTCTGTGGGGTAACCTACCCACGTTGCATTCTAGTAGAGTAGCTTCCGGGCCTCGGCAAATGATCGTGGTGAATGGGTCGAAGGATTTCTCATGAATATTGGAATAGGTACAATCACCGGGGCCGAACTATGGGTTTATTTCAAGGGCTAATGTTGGGCTGGGATCTAGGGTTCCAGAAAGTGGTCGCTGAAGTCGATAGCCAAAGCGTGTTGAACATGATCTTAGGGTCCCATGAAGAGCTTGGTACCAATGAATCTCTAGTTCGAGCCATTCGGGACCTGATAAGCAGGAATTGAAACCTTGGGATTCTTCATGTGCACCGGGAAGTCAACTTCGCAGCCACTACAAGAAATCTGCCAATCAGTGACGAAAATACATGTGACAAAAAAAAAAATCGTCACTGTATGTTGCCCTATGGTGACGAATTTAGTAAATCGTCATTACAGCAATGCATACGGCGACGACTCCTATATTCGTCATATTAGAATTCTATTTTCGTCACATAATGGATTTTTTCATCACAATGCACCTCGATTCGTCACTTATACATATAAATTCGTCACATGTATATAAAATGTGACAAAATTAAATGTGACAAACAAACAGTCGTCACAGTTGCTGTTATTTAAAATGACGCTTGCGACTAATTCGTCATTATATAATTATTTATTGTGACGATACATTATAATACATCTAAAATCGTCACATTAATACGTATTGTGACGAAATTCACTACGACGAAAACAAATTCGTTGTTTTTCTTCGTATTTGAAATGACGCTTACAAATAATTCGTCATTATATAATTTTGATTTATGACGATAAATATAAAACAACTAAATTCGTCATATTAATACATATTATGACGAAAGTCACTGTGACAAATCATAATCGTAGTGTTTTTATTGTGTTTAAAATGACGCATACGTATAATTTGTCATCATACAACTTCTTTTGTGACGATATGATATAATGCATCTATATTCGTCACAATAATACATATCGTGACGATATTCTCTGTGACAATAAAAATCGTTGATTTTTATTTGTATTTAAAATGACGCTAACGTATAATCTGTCATTATTACTTTTTCTAGCTCGGCACTTTCATCATAAACAGTTAATGTAATGGATGATTAGTATTATTGCGTATTACATGATGCACTCACAACCTCAACTTTCCTAAACATATCCATTCAAGAAATTACGCTATTTGTAATATTAGAACTGTAACGGGAATCAAACTAAAAAAGGAGCTTATGTAATTTCAAAAACTTTTCTGAGACCTTTTGGAGTTACCAATGACACCAAGCATTAAGGTTCTCTTGTATTATCCCAGACCACCCTACCAAATATATAACTCAACTGCAAGATAATAGTCATAAATCAAGCAAATCTTAAGAAAACTCATCCTCCGCTAAATAACAGTCATTAAAATTACAATTATATATATTCAATCTCACTGGAGCGGATCTAGTGGGCGCGAACAAAAAGTTCTGAAACCATCTAAACTGAACCAAAATTCAAATAAAACGTCTACTGTTCAACTGTCTGAACAAATAAGTATGCTAAATGTTGATAAAAGGCCTGCACATAGAAAATCATGCTGAACATGATAAAAGCTCTGAAACCATCGAATCTGAACAACGACTGTAATCATGAAATGAGTTCTCTGGATATAGATCTTCTGATAGCCCTGAACATGATGCAGTTTCATAGTAACATTTTTCTCATATTAAAAGCCTGCAAAAGAAAATCACGCTGAAATCTCGAATTCGACATTATCGAATCTTTTTTGGAGTAAAGGTAACAAAAATAGATAATGTTTGTCCATGCATCAAAAGGTAAACTCAACAAGAAAATCAATCATTGAAAAGAAGCAACGTGATTCATGTCGTGATCATGTGATTCAAAGGATTTAATTTCGGGTTATATTGTTTTATGTATGGATAAAAATAGTTCATCAACCAACAGCTAAAAGAAACCCAATTTCTGCAAACTGCAATTCACCAGGAGCATGCTTTCAGTCCTTTCTGACCCATCATACAAGATTGGGCAAAAGTTAGGACGCCTAGAAAAGACAATAAATAGCCACTCAGCAATTAGGCATTGGGTACAATCACAATCCAATTACCTAGCCACCTTGTGAGCATTTTTTTTTTTTTTTCAAATAGAAGATTATTCCAATAACACCTGTATTCCATATTCGGTTCAAAGAACAGAGTAAGATAGGACAGTTTGCAAAGCTGTAACTTTCATAACTTTGATTTCCGAAGCTTTTCGGATGTCATCTTCTAGTTGGTGGTAATTCCTTGAATTTCAGAATCACTGGATCAAAACAAATGTCTGGGGCAAGCAAACCAAGTACCATTAAATAAGCCAAGGCAGTTATCTGACATTTATTGACCAGTTGACACCTTCTGGATTTATGAATAGAATGAAATACGAAATTTTATTTAGTAATAAACAGAAACCAGAAGCCTAAAGCTTCCCAGCAGAACCATTCTGCCCAGTAAGAGTAAATCTTGCCCTATAGCCAAAGGTACTACAATATGGTTCGTATTGCCTACATTGTCTCTACTAAAAATCCTATATTTATACAACACTAACATAATAATATTTTTAGTTGAAAGATAAGAATAGCGGTTATAAAAGTCTTGAAACAACTCCAGAGATTTTTAAAAACAAACAACAACTGACCCACAAGAAAACTCCAAATTCAAAGTAAGTGAAAGCTTCACTTATCAATTCATGGAGCGAAATGAGGAAAAGACAATTAACCAAATTCGGTTAATCTGTAACTTATCAAAACATATACTGTTAAAAGACAAATTAGAAAACTTTAACAATATACTGTCAGATGATTAATCATATAATTACAGACCAAATGAGCAACAATACTCTAAATTAGTCAAAATCTAAAGAAATTTTGACAAAAAATATATAAAAACGCAATTCAACAGATTTCCATCTTCTTGGAAACATAGAGTGGTTTCAAAAATAAAATAAAAACAAATCTCCAAAAGAACAAAATGCATCACCAGCTTGCCATCAATTTAAAGCATAAAACTTGTTCATTAACATTAATTTTAGAAATAAAAGGAGTTCAAAATGTAATCACTGCTCACTTTATTTCAGAATAAAACAGCAAAAAAAAAAATATATGGCCAAAATAATCGAAACTTGCAATAAATTAAATATTTAGATTACCAGCCATCATTTTTTCACTCCCTTGTATGTAGAATTTTATTGGACTAGAAACACTCACTGCTCTCACCCTGAATTTTCGTGCCTGCATAGAAATATTACGCATCATCAAAAGACAAGCAACAGATAAAGCACACGATAACACATAAAAATATAGGAATAGATATTTGAATGATCAATCATTAATCTCACAAGTCACAACCATACCAGTCAATGTCGTCATCACTATCAGAAGTGTTGCTTTTTTCAGAATCTTCTACACTACTACAATAGTCAACCAACGTGTCATCGGGCTCATCTTCTTCAATGACATCATCTATGTTTACGAGCTCTGCAATATCCGGTAGTGTTTCTATAATTGATTCCTCAATATCTTGATAATCCACGTCATTCCTACCTAGTGATTCTAATTCATTAACACTAACTTCAAGTGCATCATTAGCTTCATTCTCTTGGTACACCCTATCTTCCAGAGAAAACACATCATTAGGGCCTATTTCATCATCTGGCATCTCATCAACATCATAGACATGCCTATGATGGAATGGTTGCACTACTCGCCAGTCACTTCCTAATTTAGGATCACGCATGTAGAAAACTTGTCTAGCTTGATTAGCTAATATGTAAGGGTCGTTCTCATACCATCTTTTGGTAATCCGAACACTCACAATATTGCCCTCTTTTTGTAACCCTTTCTGTTTTTTGCCCCCAAGATCAAACCATTCACATTTGAATATGGTAATATGTCTATCTTTCACATAGTCAAGCTGAATTATATCAGATACAACACCATAAAATTCAAGTG